CCCTACTTGAAGCTTAATGTTCATCTTAAGAATTTCTAGATTCTCTTGAACACTAGACTGCCTTGAGCAGTCTTCAACCTCTTTATGTATAAATTTTCTTGGGCAAGGACAGCATAAAATTGTTGTCTTGATTGTAGTTGGTCTTAAAATTGCTCTATTGACTATGTCAAACTTTACGTTGTGAACATCCAAAAATAAACACCAATTCAGGTTATGGGTTTTTTTGGCTGTGTGAAAGTCACAGCACAGGTCACCTTTCTTCTGTGTGATGGTTTTGAAAAAATTCTTGGAGCAGTTTCTCTTCCTGAGAAAAACCTGGAGCATTCATTCCCTCTGAAAAGGCTTATTGCCAGAACTGAACTCTAGCAAAGAGTGTTTCACAGTCAGCTGTCATGTGACCATTAGCAGTTGTCTCCATCCATGGTAGTTGCAGCTGGTGCGCTTAGAATCATAATTGAGAGTTTTGTTGTGCTCTATAACTACAACACCAAATGGAAGTTTTAACCCTTTTTTTTTTTTTAAAGACAAAAAATCCTGTGACCACACCAATGCTGTAAATCAGCATACATTGTAGTCTGCTAAATGTGAATTCCACAGTTGTATTCACGTGGCAGTTAACCTGCAATTTTGAAACATCAGTCTGGGACACAGACTTTTACAACTGTTTACTCAAGTGTTGAAGAATTTGATCATTGAACAACTTCTTATATGCATCTATAATCCTTTTAAAACACATCCCAGTATTAGCTGTTGAAATTATCTTCTTGCAGTGATAATTCCTGATAACTTGATTTTCTCCTAGAAAACAGCATCAACTAATGTGTGGTGGGTTTTTGCACTTGGTTTTTTTTAAACTCTGCTAGTTGAGGGCCTCTCCTGTGCTGGGGGCAAATGAGAGGGAAGAGCAATCAGTATTTCACATGTTTGTTTCTTTCTGACCTTGATCTACAGCTCATGATAGTTTTTATCTGTATTGCTTCCATCTTGAATCAAGATGGCAAAGTCTTACTAGATTTCTTCTCACAGTTCAGAGCTCTCAGCCTTTAAAACCCCTATGAAAAATCCTTGCTGTGCATGTGTGTGCTCATACGCAAGAGTGTGTACACACATGCACATATACATGAATATATGGAATTTTCCTTTTCATGAGCACAGACTGCAAAGCAGGCATGAAACTGAACATGCTGGTTTATTTACAAAAAAAAAGCTTTTATCTGCTGCCTTCTCTTGTAGGACAGTGACTTGAAGCAGTACTGGATGCCTGACAGCCAGTGCAAAGAATGCTATGACTGCAGTGAGAAGTTCACCACCTTCCGGCGGAGGCACCACTGTCGACTTTGTGGGCAGATCTTCTGCAGTCGATGCTGCAATCAGGAAATCCCTGGAAAATTCATGGGCTACACAGGTAGGGTTTATTTATTCAGAAGCAGAACAGTCTCTGTGTGCTCAGCTCTGTTTGGGCTACTGTGTTTTAGATTCTGGCATTTGCTAGAAGATGCTCTACAAGTCTGTAGTGGGCTTGAAAATAAGGAAAAATAATCACAGGACCTAGTTCTGCCAATTTCTGTATGGACAATGGTGGATTATACGATGCCTGCTTAATTTTCCCACACTACATCCATCATGACAAAACAAATATGGCCATTATTTAACAAGGGTGTTCACTACAAAAAGTACGCTCAAGGAAAAGTTGCTCTTAGTAACGGTAGTTTTAAAATGTTATGGGGCACATCTAATTGAGGGTGAGGGGAAACTCTTTCATACACCAATTACCAAATTCTAGACATCTCCTGATGGAGGTAATGATTTCCAAACATCAGCTGGTGTGTCCTGTCTGACTGGTTGTTGTTGTCGCATCATTTCAATGTGCACATGTCATCTCTCTCTCCCTGCCCTACAGCCTCTGTCCCTTACTGATCTTGTGTTACATATCATTTGCCTTGGAAAAATTCCCTGAGTAATTATCTGGGGTTTTGCCCTTTCAAGGACTATGAGAATTAGACTTAAAATTGCAAAGAAGTTTTGAAACAGAAAATCCTTCTGTTTCCACCACTATACACCTTTGATCCAGTAGGAACAGAGTGCTATTTGTTCCCGTTCACTTACACTCTCTGCTTCCTCTTTCCATAGGGGATCTACGAGCCTGCACTTACTGCCGTAAAATAGCCTTAAGCTATGCACACTCCACAGACAGTAACTCCATTGGAGAAGACTTAAATGCTCTGTCAGATTCTGCGTGTTCTGTGTCTGTGCTGGATCCTGGTGAGCCACGCACACCCGTTGGGAGCCGCAAAGCTAGCCGCAACATCTTTCTGGAGGAGGATCTAACCTGGCAAAGGTAAAGTGAACAGCTGAGCTCCAGAATCTTAACTCTGTTTCCAGGCTGGCACCTACTTAGACAAAAGCTGGTGGTTTCCATCTAGGAAACTTAGAAGTATATCCTCTGTAAAAAGAATTGAATCCTGTGCTTACTTCTACTATTCTTTTCTTCAAGTGGAAATGTAGAAACTTTTGTAGTGGAATTTAAAATATTTTCAGTTCTTCCTTTAACCTGCTGAATCAGTGATTCTATACCAGTGACAGAACAGGCTTTTATCTTCAGAGTTAAAAAGACAAAACCAAAATCATCCCTTCTAACCACCAATATATTGAGGGCAAGTCAGTGTAACACTGGTGCTTTACCTGTTAGGTTTTGAATTGAGCAGGGGAATGTAAGAAATGCTCTCTGTGTAATTAAGAGAGAAATAGTAGAAGTAACCACCTGTTTCAAATGAAGTGGGATTGAAAGGAGAGCTGTAAAGATTCTTTTATCTCCTTTCAGAGTATATGTATTATTGCTTTCAAATGAGGAGGTGTTTATTTTTGGAACATGAGTAAAAGAACACTGTACTTCTCAAATGGTATGCAAACTCATTTCTGAGGACCTTGATATAATTTATGTGGGGGGAGAAAGAAATAAACAGATGTGGTATTTGTGCTCATTTCCCTAAAAACAGGAGAACAGGCAGATGTGAAACTACTGAGGAGATCTTGAGTCAGAACCTTTCTTTAGCTGAGAGGTAGTGTTTGCTGGTTTATTTACTCAGCAGATCTCGCCTCTCAGCAGATCTCCTCTGAGAGTATTAAAAGAAAAATCTTAAACACAATTGTCTTCAGAAAATGTCCTGACTCTTGCTTTGCATGTTGCTTTTCAGAGTATGGTGCTCCTATGTGGAAGCACTTAAATAATCAGCTTTAGGCTTAAATAGAGGAAAGTACTTCTGGTTTAATGTTATGGTTGCTTAAAGCAGTAATATAGCAATGCTTGGGATAAATGCTACCAAATTTTGAATTGGGGAATAAGTATGTGTTATCGGAGTCTTCTCTTCAGGTGCAGAAAATACTGAAGGTATCATTAGTTTTGACTTCCGATTTGTTATTAGTATCTTTATGGCATTTCAGTAGCTTGTAGACATAAACATGTAAAGAAAGTATTCATATCTTTATTTTGGGCAGCTTGCAGCACTCAAAAATACTGCCTATCCCTGAAAGGCTGATAACTCCTTCTATAATAGATCAATTAGCCTTGTTGGGAGACACTGAGTGAATGTGAGCTGATTTTATGTGTGAGAGGAAGAGAGATTGAGGTTAGGTGGTTTATTGTTGCTTTAGGAGGATTAACATTTCTTCAGTGGCTGTTGCTCTTACAGTGTAAAAATTTGCAGTGGGCTTTGTTTTTAAATACTGTGTTTGGTAAGTTCCTGATTGACCTTAGGGGGTTTAAACTCAAGACATTGAATTTAAATGGCACCACAGTGGAAACTGGCAAGTCACAGCTGCATAATGGGGCAGAGGTTTTGTCCTAAGATGTGGCTTCCATGTGAGAAGTAGTTTACTTCAGAAGAAAACGTGGGAGTTGACTCTCTTTGCAAAATAATGTATCTGAGATAAGACTCTTGCCTCTTCTGCTGTCCTGCTGCAAAACAGTAAGAAAAGCATTTAGGGGGAGTTATGCCATACTTGTCAGATGTCACTCTACCTTTTAAGCAGTAGGAACATAGAGGCATGGGCTCCTGTTTTAACGAACTTGTAGGGCTGTGTCCTTTGAAAGTGAAGGACTGGTATACTCTAGGCAAGGACACGTACTCAGGCAAAGTTGTATTGCTTACAGTTTCTCATGGAGTGCATTTATCATGCCAGACCATAGGCAGTACAGCTGTATCCGCTGGTGTGTAGTGGCTTATGTCTGATACAGTTTTGCCAACAGGAGTTTCTGCTGATGGTGTGCAAACATCTCCTGTCTTTCCTCCTAGGGTGGAAGTAAAAGGAGGGCAAAGGTGATAGTGGTCAGGTTAAACAATTACAGAAGGTTGTCAGGCTATCTTGGTAAAAGCTGTCTAGCAGTAGCTATAGATAGGATTGCTTGGATTGCAAAGATGATGTGCTGGGGAGATGGGGGCAATGTCTCTGCCTCCAAAGCATAGAATAGGAGCCTGTAAAGAAGAAGGATGTGTAAGAAGGGTTTATAGGGGAAGCAAGTTGGAAGGCAGTATGATATAAGAAGTAGGAAGAGGCTGTATTGGCCAAGACTTGAGTTTGAAGGGAGAAGATGTGAGCACTGTCTTCCAGGTATCATTGGCCTATAGATGGGGAAAGATTTCTCTATTCCCTCATTGATTTAATAATCATGGGTGTGAGGGGTAACAGATAATTAATTGTACTTTAATTCTAGCTGTTCTGACTCTGCTGCGTGTCACAAATCTCTCAGACATCTCTATCATGCTCCTTTCCATGCAGTTTGATTCACCCAGACTCTTCAACTAGCACATTGTCTGCATGCCTTGGGTCTGTCCAGGAGGATGCAGGGAAGTCACCAGCTAGAAACAGGTAAATGAATACTTTTCGAGTATTTTCTTTTCTGGATGTACTCCTAGCATACTATTCACTCTAAAGCCTGTGTTTCTGGGCTTGCTTTTACTGAGTGTTCTGTTTCATGTTTAAAATGGAACAGTGGTGAGGAAGGACCATTTATGTACATACTCATATTAATAAATGTACTACTTTTGAGGAACCTGTGGTTTGCTGCTGAGTCAGTCAAACAGAAGTGGTGATGAAGAGGACAGAAGTAGCTAAGAAAGGTAGAGTTCTGAGGAAGCTGAAGAAAAGGGAGTAATACAGATTTGGTAATGGAAGGCAAAGACTGAGGTCATAGGGGAGCAGAGGTGCAGTTTTTGTTTATTTGTTTCTGTTGTGTGTGTCCTCATCTGCTTCCTCTGCTCTTCCATTAAGGATTATCTTGTTTAAGTTACCAGGTTTTCTTGGGCTAAAATCCCTTCATAGATCTTTATGCAAGAGTGCTGGAATGAACTTGAAAGTATTCATGAGAGCTTTAGTATAAGCTATGAGTGCTTGAGCTTAATCTCACTAAATAGGCTGGTGTTAGAAGAAGTAGCTCCCACTTCACAGTGCTTCTGCTATGAGTCTGGCTACATACTTCCCTTATGGTTAAATTTAGGAAATAAAGGTAAGACAAGGAGGAACAGAGCAAAGATAATACAAATTTCAGACTTGGAATCAGGAGACATTCAGAGGTTTATTTAATACGTGTTAAAGAAATGCAGAATGTTGAGCAATTTGGAGGGGTCTGGCAGGACCATTGAAGCTGAGGAGGATGCTGGGTGTCCCTTTTCAGAGAATGGACTGTGTGGTTGAGCCTTTATCTTCTGTGTGATGGGGATGGTTAGGGGGAGATGCACACTTACTTACAGCTGAGACCCAAAGATCTCACCTGGGGGAGTAAAGTACTAGTGAATACACTAGTGCCAAAAATCAGTTGTGGGCAAATGTGATAAGGAGTCCAGAGTGAGAAGTTCAATGCTAAATAACTTAAGTGATGTCAAGAAATGTCTGAAATCCTGAGCATGTTGTCCTGCTTCCTGCTTGAATTGATGTGGCTTTGCTGTTTGCTCACACATGCAGTAGTAGGAGGGTTTTAAGATCAACCTGGCAGGCCCAAATTGCTCATTCAAGTTCAGTTTTAACTCTGGCTATTCATGGCCTCACTATAGTACTCACTCATTTCTGGACACATGTTTGAGATGTAATTATGAGGTATAATGTCAAAATTCTGAACCTGTGGAAACAAAACTCTTGGCTTTTGGCTAAGCAATGCTGGCACTCTTCTCACAGCAGCTGTAGCCATTTCTTTGAGAAAAGCTTGACTATTCCTCTTTCTAGACGAGATGAAGTAAGAAAGATGTAGGTTGAGTACATTTAGATGCAGGTAGTAGAAGTTACGTATTATTATTTGTTTTCCCTGTGGTGGTGGATGTGTTGTTCTCAGCCTCATTATTTATGAGTGGAAAAATACCTGCAGAACAGTCAAATGTTGCAAGTGGAGAGATTCAAACTGTTCCCTTGCAGATCCTTCTGAAAGGATAGGCAGTTTCACTGTTAAATCTCCCCCTGTTTATAAAAAAGATAGACAATAAAGTCCCAGATGTAGTTGTTGATGATAAAGACACAGATAGGAAATTTGACTGTTCTAACTCTTGCTTAATGGCCAGATAAAAAATCCTTGCTGCTTACAGGTGGGTGGCACAGTTAAAGCAGCTGTTGCGAAAGAGCTGGAGGAGTGCTTAATGATAGAGTTCCATGTCAGCCTCATCTTACACATGAGACCAAATGCTTTCTGTTTAGTTGCCTAACTCTGTCAATTATAACTTTAACTGGAGAGCGTCCGAACAGTACAAGACTGGCAGAGTTTTAGCCTGCCTCGAATGCCTATGACACAAAGTTTTTGTTTATCACCCCTAGATATATGTGGATGTAGTGCCAACATAGTTTCCTTTGATTCTGCATATGACTTAAAAGAACCTAACTAAACCCCTTTATCAGCCCAGTATTTCTTCCTCAAGAGACAGATAAGAAAAAAACAGTGATCTTTGAGACTACTGTACCTTCAGTGCTACTTTCTTGCAGTACAAAAGCAGAAATAGGGTGGCATTGCTATTTCATGCCTGGGTTCAGCCACATAATCCACTGAGAATTCTTGGGAATTAATAGGGTCTCTTAGTCAGCTAGCAAGCTCTGTGAAGTTATCTGAGTTCTGAGGCAACAGTTCTCATCTCTAAGACTGCTGCAAGCCTCTTGAATCAGTTCAGCATTGGCATTTTGAGCTTCCCTGTTGCTGTATGCAGAAGAGTTTTCCATCCTCACTCCTTAGAGTGCTGTTAGTGCTAATAGCTTACACTGCATGCCTTTTGCTGCTGTGTGATGAGAAGTTGCACTCTGGTTAATCAGACAGTCTTCTTGTAGATAAATGGAGCAGAGGGTGTGTAGAACTTGTATTTGTAGCTTCACAATGATTACTGCAAAACGGTGTGTTTGTGCTCGGCTGCATAACCAGGATTTCCTAATGGCTGACATCAGGAGGGTGCTCCATATTGCAGTACAAGGAAGGTTGCCATCTGGAGTGACCTCCAGCTTCAGAAGACAGTTAGCCACCCTGGGAAACAAGTACTCAAACTTTCAGCCATCCATTTCAGAGAGCTGAGGACAAGAAATGTTAAATGGAGGAGAAGAGCCCTCAGTGTCCAGTTACAGGGATTGTGGCATTGACTGCCCTTGCTGACATCTGTCTTGCCTCCAAACTGCTGGAGCTTAAAATTACCCAGCATCCCATCCCTTCCGCAGCCTGTTCAAACGCAGATATCTATGAATTGGTGTGCCTAAACTTAGTTCTAACAGCTTCATACAAAGAGGTTTACAAAGAAGTTCCAGAGTGATACACTTGCTTCCTAGGGATCCTTTCTTCTGCTTTGACAGGGCAGGAAGCTTTATTCAGTGAGTCTCCTCTGATGAGAGTGAACAGTTTGTTTGTAGCATGCTATGAGATAAAGGCCTGCTCTAGTGAAGCACTGCACAGTGAACACTTACACTTCAATTCTTCTCTGTTGCACTGCAGATCAGCCAGCATCACTAACCTGTCGCTGGATCGCTCGGGTTCACCGATGGTGCCTGCCTACGAGACATCCGTCAGCCCCCAGGCCAGTCGCACACACGCCAAGGCAGAGACCAGCGAGGACGAGCGCAAAATCCTTCTGGTACCTTTCAGGGGTCTGCTGGCCTTGCTCTGTGAAGGCAATGAGGGGTTTGCCTTCCTTGTGTCATGTAGCAGGAGTATTTTGCTGCCTCTAAAGGCTCTTGTCTAAGCACTCTTACCTGGACCCCTACTCCAGGTGGAGCAGGGATGGAGAGTATTGATGCTGCTTTGGACATTACTGTCTTCCTGAAACAAGTCATAGACTCAGGTGGTGTTTTGCATAAAGGTATTTACAGTTTTAGTTTTGACAAGTGTGTTATGCAGTGTGGAGCTGATGTGTGGTGGCTCCTTGTGGGTTAAACCTGTCATGGTTGCAGCCGTAAAGCAATGTCCTAATTTTGTATTTCTCCCAAGTTCATATTTTTCCTTTCATAGGCCACATAATCAGAAACTTTCAATGGCTGCTTTGAAATAGTTACACCGTGATGAATAAGTTATCATAGTATGTTAAGGGGTTGGTGTGGACCTTAGAGATCATCTAGTCCCAGCCCCCTGCCCTGGGCAGGGACACCTCCCCACTGGACCAGTTGCTCAAGGCCTCATCCAGCCTGGCTTTGAACACTGCCAGTGTTGAGGCATCCACAAGCTTCTGGACAGCCTGTTCCAGTGTGTTACCACCCTCACATTAAAAAATTTCTTTCTAATATCTAATCTAAATTTCCTCTCTTTCAATGTTGACTTGCTTTCCTTCAGATAACTCCAATGCCCTTTGAAAGGCAATAAGCTCAGCCTTTTGTGCTGAGGTGTTAGTGGGTAAAGATTCTGCCTCGATTTGTGTAAAGTTAAAGCTGTTACAGCATATTGGGGCAAAACATAACTTGGATCCTCCCTTCATCTACAGAATGAATAAAACATTTTGTAGGAGGTTGTAATGACGTACTTTTTCAAAGAGAAATCAATGTGCAACACTGTTCTGTATAATCTTTTTATCCTGTCCCAACTGAGACGATGTTGTAAATTGCAGATACAGTAACAGCCATTCAGTAAAGACATTGTTTATTTTCTTTGAGGGCAGGGAAGTGTTGCCCCAACAAATGGGGCAAAAACGTTGCAGAGAAGGAGTGTTTTTCATACATTAAAAGATTCAAGCTTGCTCCCCGTTGCCAATTTTAAATCTGTAAGGCTCATTCTGTGTTGTCAGGTATGTGCCTGCTGTCAGCAGAATGTGTACAAGTATTCCTGAGGGTGTAGAAACACTAACTTCTGTTCGATTGCAAAACTCCTTTCCTGATTGCTCTGTAAATGGATAACCATATGAGGGAGAAATACATTTAAGGCATGTCTTTATACCTCCCTGCTTCATACATGTATATTAATGCAAGAAATTAATAAGCTGCTATGGATGCAACTTGGACCATGATGTTCAAGTCCCAGTGCACTTTAGCTTTTTTTTTTGGTCTATTTTCTCCCTTAAGGGAGGACTGGCAGTATTACTTCTGTTCATGTAAGAGCAGAAGATGCAGTGTCAGTTAATGTAGGATTACCTGTTTGTTTAATGCCCTTAGCATGTGGAGTTGACCCTTTATCTGGAGCTAATTTAAAGCTTAACCTAATCCATTGAGAGGACTAATGAACTTTGTTCATGCAATAAAGGTAGGAGGCATTGTGCATGCACTGGGGTAAGCATATACTTCTGTGAACTAGAGGTCAAAATCCTTGAGTTGAAATGATTTGCTGTGCTCTGCCAGTTTGTCCAGTTTACAATATTCACCATGTGAGTTAAGAATAAGCTACAAGGCAGCTGAACTGTAGAATCACCAGTTATATCAAATCTTATGATCCTATGATGTGTTCTTTTACTGATCCATTGGACTCCATACATGGTATGGAAGGGAGGCTGCTGACATTTCTTTTAGGATACTGCTGGAACTAAAAGCATAAAGCCAGTCCAGTAACAGAAATGGAGCAAAACTCTTGGGTCTCAACACACCCTTGGGAAAGTGCAGTAATGTTGGTCTGGCAGTTAACTGGAAAGATGAAGCCAGTTAAAATTTAATTAAAGCGTTTTTGTTCTGTTACATAAAAACAGATCAAATGAGGCATTTGAGAAGATGGGCTGCAGTGTCTCTTCTCCACCCCTTGAAATGCTCTGCTGTTCTCTCAGAATAATCCCATTGTTTCCACTCTACAACAACAGATTGTGCTGTGCCAAGCCAGGGCACATATGGCAAGGCAAAAGGGGCCAGGTGCAGAGAGACAGCTCAGTTTGGAAGGAGCATAGCCTACACAAGAGTTGGTGCACATGTTTAACAGGTCCCAAAATAAGTTTGAGGTGTAGGCTGAAGTGTTCCAAGGGGTGAGAGTAAGAGATTCACAGATTCAAAACTGGTTAATTGAGTTGGGGGGAATATACACCTTTTTTTTTTATTAGTGACCAAAGATAACACTGTCTAAAAAAGCCTTGATACTGGACAGTATAAAAATGGATCCTCAGTAAAAGATGCTGTCCTAGAACTTGAACATAGCAGTGTGCATTGCTGTGTTAAGTAGCTGCTTAGTATCCGGGCTTGATAATGGGCTAGTATGTTTCACAATGCCTGGGCTGTGCACAGATAATATAGAAAAACCCTCTTCCAAAGGATGTTCTCATTGTCCTCTATGTTTGCACACACCACCTGAGTTTAAGAATAGGGTGCAAGAGGGTAGCAGTGAGGACAAAAGTATTTTGTAGGCAGTACAAAATGTTGCAACATTAAAAACAACAACCCCTTAACTCTGAGGGTATCCTCTTTGTTTTTTCATTGTTCTTAACTGGATATAAATTGAAGGATATGAGGAGCTGATCTCATATCTCCTTGCTATTTCTATTTGCACCTTTGCATAAGGTTGTGCAGAATGGCTTGGATTCTGTGCCTGATTTTGGAGGGCTTTTGATGTAGAAGCTGATCTGAAGGCCCAGGTTGATGCCCTTGAAACCAGTGCTAAGATTAGACTAGTAAGTAACTTGCACATCTCCCTGTCCAGGACTCAGTCCAGCTGAAAGATCTGTGGAAGAAAATCTGCCATCACAACAGTGGGATGGAGTTTCAAGACCATCGCTACTGGCTACGGACACATCCCAACTGCATTGTGGGAAAAGAGCTGGTCAACTGGCTCATCAGAAATGGGCATATAACCACAAGGTAACCCTGATGCTTCTGGTGTCTTCTGTCTGTGCGAGGGGAGGTTGTGAGTTTGAGCTAATAAGGAACACCTTAGACTGCAGAGATAGATTTCTTTGCAGGGAGATGAGAAAGAAAATTCACATCTTTACTGGCTACCAAAGCAGGTACCATTCTGACTCCATGTGGCCCAAAACAAAAGGGCACAGGGGGCTGTCTGGTTTGGAAGCCAGTATGGGAGGTAGCTTATAGGACCAGTATCATTCACTTGGAGAATAGTCAGTGTATTACAAAGATTGTCCAAAAATGTTCACTGGTACTCCAAAAAGCAGATCTGCCCTGGGATCAGAGCTCACTAATAGTGTTTGATAGCTAAATTTTTGGTGAAGCTGGCAGGCTCTTAACTGTGTGAGTGTAACGAATCTGGTGTATTTAACTATGTAAGAACAGGATAAACAGAGATGGTTCTTAAGCGTAGAGTGACAGTCCTCTGCTCAGTATATATGGCTTGAGTGGAGGAGCACAAGCAATATGTCTTAATCATCTGTTGAACAGCTCTGCTGAGTTCAGAGTAGTGACAGTCTCTTTATCTAGCTCCAGTCTTGAACTAGTACACCATGTCGCCTTGACACAGTATTTTAAATAGTGTCTGTTTAAATGTGGCAATACGATACTGATGACTCAAATAGTGCATAGTAAATGACTCTTTCCTTTTGTAGTGTGCTTGTACCATAAACCATATGTGTTTAAAACTAGACTTAGAAAACCATCTCTATTTTTATCCTTCTAGGGTCCAAGCCATTGCAATAGGACAAGCATTGGTTGATGGACGTTGGCTAGAATGTGTCAGTCATCATGATCAGCTCTTCAGAGATGAATATGCTCTCTACAGACCATTACAGGTAAAAGGAGTAGGAAAGCTGAAAGCTATAGTTCTTGCTGGATTGGCTGCTGACCAGAATCTTTTCTAATCCTGTTCTCAACAGCTGCAGTATGTGTTTTAAATCAGCTTTCCTGTCCAGACCTTTTTCCTGAGTGGGTTAAAACCTAAAGAAGTTTTGTTTGCCCAAAAAGCTTTGGGGCTGTCCTCTCTAGAGGATGAGTTGTTAAGTGTAGTGCTGCCTGAAGTGGGGAGGGGGAAGGGTCTTCAGTCCAGACCAGTGACTCTTATGGTGGACATCTTCCACAGAGGCCTCAGGGTGTCACAGTGTGTGCTTGTGGCAGCTGTACTGTCACATGCAGAATCTGTGTGCTGAGACACAATGGTGATCTTCTGTTTAAAATTCCTTCTCAAAAACATTCCAAATGGATATTTTAGATATACAGTATTGGAACTTCTTGTATATTGTATTGGTAACTTTCTTCTATCTCCAGTGATGGCAGTCATAAGGAGTTCAGTACCTTAGCCACATAATGCAAGTTTGGGATGCCATGCCTCCCAAACAGGACTAGTTACCTGAGCAGGGAAGCAGAGAATTAGTGACCATAGGTGCTATTCTACCACACATCATTGCAGTCAAATTTGCTGAGAGGTAATACAGTCACTGGCCTGAGTGACTGTACTGGGTTTTTTAGCCTGAACAAGGTACCTCTGTATCCTCTCTTACATGAAAGCATTCAATTGAGAGTCTTTCATGTTCTGCAACTTCTTACAATGAAGAATGACTCAGCTGTCCCATGGACTTCAGTCAGAAAGCTTGCAGCCATTAGCAGCTTGTCTTCCTCATGCATTTCAGCTCTTGGACAGTCATATGGTCTTCCATTGAGATTGCTCTGGGCTTCACCTGGCATCTTATCTAGTCAACTGCACTCAGTTTGCTAGTAAAAGCTTGCCCTTAGCTAGGAAGTGCTTATGGATCTGTGTTTGTAACTATTTGTAAGGGGCTTGTGTTATATCACAGAATCAGTTAAGGTGGAAGGGATCACAGAGGATCATCTCTTTGTTGGCTCAGTTGTTTGCTGCACTTCCTGTAGCCAAAGGAATGACAGTGAGAACTTCCTCTTGAGGTGCCTGGAGGCATTGGGATGGCTGCTGGAAATTACTTAGACATTCTCCAGGTTCTCTGGCACTCTCACCAGGCTTTGCTTTGACACAGTAGCCCCAGCCTAGAGCCTGACTTGTGATTGAAACCCTTGGGAGTACTTTAATCAGTCAAAGAATTGCTCCACTAACATAGAATTAGGCTTCACCAAAGGCCACACATGTTGGTTTCTGGGCAGAGGATATGGTTATTACCCACCTTGGCTGGGGATAGAAAGCATTCAAAACTGCTCAGCTGGATGTGATGACAGAAAATGTGCAGTAGAATAAACTTGTCCTTTAGTGCCACTTAGTCACAACTTGTGTAGCAGTGGGGAGTAGGCAGAGACTAAGCATGTGGGAAGTGTAAAGAAATACTTGTTTCCTGTCCCAAGGAGTTCCTACTTCATACCAAGGGAGGTGACTCTGAGTAACTTGGCTCAGCCCTCTGAGAGTATCCTCTGATTTTTAAAATGTCTGACCTGCCTTTGTATCTGGCTGCTTAATATTTCAGCAGAGCTGCACTTTAACAATGTTTTTTGCCTTCCTTGTCTTCTAGAGCACAGAGTTCTCAGAAACCCCATCTCCAGACAGTGACTCTGTGAACTCTGTAGAGGGGCACTCTGAGCCATCCTGGTTCAAAGACATCAAGTTTGATGACAGTGACACAGAGCAGATTGCTGATGAAGGAGAAGATAACTTAGCCAGTGAGTTTCAACTGAGTCTTGTTCTCTCTCTGCCTTCTCCCCTGTTATCCCTAGTCCTTCAGGACTTAGTAGTTTAACTGTGTCTTGCTTTATGTGTGTGTTTCTGTGTGTGCGCATGGGGCTGTAAGGGTCTAAGCAAACTATAACCTGACTGGTCTTGCTGTTTCTTACAATGGATACAGTATTTTGTATTTAGTGGAACTGGTAAAGCTTCATACTTCTAATGAAGGAGAAGCATGTAAATTGTTACCTTCTGTTTCTCAGGCAGACTTCTGCTTGATTTTGGACCCTATGGTAGTGCACTAAAGACTGTCCAATATGCCAACATGCCCACATGAAGATAAGATTAGAACTATGAAAATACTGTATTCCTTTAGTATTGCACACTGGTCTTTATGTGTTAAAGACAATTTTTCTCCTCCCTGGTACCCTCACAATATCCCCATTTGAACCCTTCTCCTCCCTGTATCTTCCCCCTTACCCAACACTAAAAGACTCCGCCAGCCCTAGCAAGCGCACTTCAGTCAGCAGCTTCCAGTCCGCAATGGACAGTGATTCGGCCGCCTCCATCAGCCTGAACGTGGAGCTGGACAACGTGAACTTCCATATCAAGAAGCACTCCAAGTACCCACATGTGCCCCCTCACCCTGCCGACCAAAAAGGTATGAGGTAGTCACCAGCTGGAGTTGCACATGATGGAGAGTTGGGCCCTAATATTACTGACCTATTTGGACACTACTTATGTAGCTGTCTTACAGAGGGGAAAATATGACATTTGACTGGCATTTGCTTGCAGTTTTGATATGCTCACCTCTGAGGAGGCTCAGTAGACCTTTTGAAACACCTTCTCTGCAGAGTGTGTAACTTCCCCTGTGACTTTCTCTTTGCAGTTGAAGCAAAGTCTCCTGTCCACATATAATAGGGCAGATCCACATATATTTTCTGGCTAACTGGGGTGGAAAAATAATCCATGCAAAAACCATAGGTGTTTCTACAGTTTGAGATGGAATTGAAAAAAGCAGGCAAGAAATAAAACCCCAAACAACAAAAGAACAAGATTAGCTTGGAAGAGTTCTGTGCTGACTTAAAATTGTACTTTAATAAGCTTACATTTTACAGAACAATCTCAGTGATGAGCAATAAGGCCTAACTTGATCCATTCAAAAGAGTTCATCCACTTAAGTGAAGTAGGAAGAAATCAAATAGTTTGTGTCGAAGACTTCTTTTGAAAGGTTTTTCCCCTAAATAAGTACTAAATTGAAAGACTCTATAAGCAAAATCCTTATGGAAGAAATAACATGCCTACCTGTTGACACCTGCATTCTCTAAATGGGACAAGGGCTGTCTGAAAACAGAGCTTGCCACTGGCTTGCGTCTAATATATTCTAGGTGCTTTACCTCCTGGATAGCAATTGATATCTTTGCTCTGCTTCCTTACCTAAGGTTGCATTAGCTTTGTAGACTTCTATCTTTGTCTGCTTCTAAGGAGTTTCTGATTCTTAATTATTGTTTCACCCCACTCTGTCAGTATTTCCAACTTTAAAAGATGATCCAGTGTTAAATAATTTGTACTCCTTGTAATTAATTCATTCTTCTATAAAGTCTAACAGATCTCGTGTTGTTCTGGATCAGAATGGAAGACCTGCTTTATACTTGCATACAGATTGCATTTTCTGAAACTGAAATGGTCACTGAAGAGAGTGAGGGAGGAGAAGTGGTCATAGCTGACTTTCAAAGTATGTTAGTGGGGACAGACTGAGGCAAATTAGAGGGGGCATTTGTTGGTGCCTATTGTAGTCACCTTTTGTTATTTGCTAAAAATATGTCTAGAAGGAAGGAAATCTAATTGCTTATTTTTTCCCCCTAAAGAGAGAAGCAGAGCAGGTTCAAAAGTTTGAGTTGATGTCAGATGACTCATCAGTGGGGATGGGTTGTCACTAGTACTGACACCAACTTGTTACTGGTTCCTTTCAACTTGTTTCCAGATCATGCCCTAATGAAAAGCATCTACAGGGAAGGAAGGCTGTGAAAAGGGATAATATACCAATGAATTCCTTTTAGGAAGGAGGGATGCTGGATTAAGTGAGCTTGAAACAGGCCCAGGTGTGCTGTAGTATCCTATGAATTTCCAGCTGTAGCAGGTTTATCTTTTTCAGTGTGTGATGGCAGTTAAGCAGGGAGTAGTCGATTTGGCTTTGGTGAGTGTTAAAGGATCGGAGAGTGTTAGTCTTGGTTTCAGACATATCTCAGTCTTTATCTCCATATGCAAAAAGCAGGACACAATGAAGGGAAAGTGTAAGAGAGCCTGTGTCTCTGGAAAAACTTGACCAAGTCAGGGCTGCTCATAGCCAGAACTGAAGCTCTTGTGAGAAAGGTTTTGATTACAGAGAGCTCAGAGATCAGCGGAAAAGGCAAGTGGTGAGGGGACTGAAAGGAGACTTCTGCCTTTCATTTACATATGTTTGCAAGACTCTGCTGGTGTTTGTCATCTATTCCTGAAACATGTGATTTTTTAACCAGGTTATTCTGATGGACTGTAATTCATTAGTAGGAAACTACTCCTTTCAAGAGAATGGATTTCCCTTAAGGGGAAAGTCAGTAATATGCCCAGAACTGGGGTAGGGTGGAGTTGTAGAGAGGTAGGTATTATCCTGTAGTTTTTTGGAAAAGTCTATCTTTTCTGCAAGTGCAGAGTACTTAGTGTACTGGTTTTTTAGGTCTTTATAATAATTCCTGGCATGACAGTCTCTAGAGAAAAGACCTAACCAGGGAGCAACGAGTTCAAATCAATGGCAACATCTCAAACAGTGAGAAACGCTTCTTGGCAATAGGCAGACTGAAACTTTGTAGGTACTTAGGCCTTCAGAAATTAGGCGGGACAGAACCCTACATTGCATGCTGCAGTGCCTAAGGCAGTGAAACGCATGACTTCTAAAACTTTGTTCTGAGAATATTAAAGTCAGAGTGCTAAGACTTTCTCTGTGTTTTTCTGATTTATTCTGTCTATATTTAACAATAAATGCCATCTAGAATGTTAGAGTATCAGTGATTAAACAGCCAAGACTGGATAGTTAAGCATCTATGTAGACTAGGCCATGGTTGTTTTAAGAACAGAGTATTGTAGTTAATCAGTGACATGGTGTTTGCTGCTGTCAGGGTCTGCAACTTCCCTATGACTGTTATGGACACATGTAATTGGCTTGATTGTGATGGAATTGTGTCTTGTCTTTAGACTGGGTGACAGTGACTTGATTTTCTTTGAAGTAATGAAGTAAAACTGAAGATCACACCCTCCTTTTGAGACTTGTAACACAATTTCCTCTCAACTGTGTAAATTAGTAATTTTGGGGGGAGGACTGACAATAGAAGACATCAAGTGCTAGAAGTGCAGGTCAACTTTGATCTAAGCAGTTAGTGGGTTTCTTCGAATGATTAAGGAATATGCAATATTCAGCAGTCACAGAGGTCAAATGCTTTGAAACAAAGGCGGGTGATGTACCCACCAGCTGTGTTTTAGAATAGAGTGGCTTGTATATAATCTCATGGCAAAACTTTTGGTGTTACAGGCTGACTAATGTCTGGTGTATTTCCGTGAAATTTGAGTGTCTCTGAGTTAGCTGAGTGTATTGACTCATTTATAGTGTCATCTGCCAAAGGTACTTTATAGTGTGGTTCAAAATGGGAAACAAAGTAAGATTGCTTTCTGGTTTAAATTGGGGAGAGAGCTTAGCATGGTGTTGCCAGGAACATTTTTGGTTCTTCTTTTGAGAATGTGCCTCAGTTTTGAGTGGATATCTGTGGATGGATGCATATTTGTATGTGTATCTAGAGGAAAAGCTGTGGTTGCTGGTCAGTCTGGTTTTATGTTTAACCAGAGTAAAGTGCATAAAATTTATATCTGCTGGTTTTCATTGGAGAACTGTGGATTTCTATGTGCATTGTGGTATTTGTTTGTGTTGATGCTCTTGAATATCAGACTTGGGAATTTGTTTGTTCAAGGATAGGTTTTCTTGGTTCTTTTTTAGTTGTTTTGTTTTGGTGAAGCTGTTAGGGGAGCTTTTAAGATAATATCTTGACAGCTAACTTCTCACAGACAAGGCTACAAAATATGCTACAGGAACATCCCTCATACCCCTTCCTCATTTTGTGGAGCATGATGCATGTAGGGATGATGTGAGGTAAGAAATGTGCATGTTAGCCACTCTAACCATCTCAAACTCTCACCTATGAGTGCATTATCTGCCTGGTTTAAGAAGAGTTATGGCATCTTACCTTGTCAGGATCTTCTCCTGGGGCCCAATTGGAAGAAAGTTCTAGGAGGTAAAGCTATATTGAAGAGAATGGTTTTTCAGTAATCTATAATCTAGATTGTTAGAAATCTAGAAGTATTCCTGGTTTGGAGGAGCCAGCTGTGTCTCTGTCCAGAGCATAACTAAAGTTATATTTCAGCTGGGGATAAACTCTTCCTTTGGAAATGGCAGTCAGGAATATGTGCCAGACCTAATTTGAGTGTGTAACTGCTGCCCTGAGGCTGTTGCAAGGTGGAGAGGGATGGAGGTGTTAGTACACATGCTCTTGTGTAGGTAGAGCATGACATGACTTTCTCTTGGTAGTCAATGGGGCTGTGGGTGAATGAATGCTGAGGGTGAGACAGTAGTTTATTGTTAAATGCTAAACTCTTAATCTAAGAGAGAAATTAAAGGAATCTGCAAATAAGCAGCAAGCTGCAAGGGAGGCTTGTAACTCCTCTTTTGTACATTGGTCCTCTATTGAGTATCTATTTGCAAACTCAGATTTTTAAAATGGTGGCATGTGAGATCTCCTGAGTTCTGCTGTTTAGAACCTTATGACTGCTTATGTCCTGTCTGCTTTCTGTTCCTTTCTGTTGGTGTCTGAAGGCAGCCTGGCTTTGCATTCTGTTTGTGGCAGTAGGTCTGGACCATTGTCAGAAAGGTGAAAAAGGATTAGCTTTGAATTTCAGGTCACTGTGCTACATAAGCAATTGGGCTACTGCTCTTGTTTTCCCCACTGTATAAGTAAGGAACCAGCTAAAGGCACAACAAGCTAATGGCTTCTTGAGAAAAGGCCATCTGGAATGAAAAATCGAGATGTAGCAAGCTAAACGAAGGTAATAGATGGAGCTTCATCCTCTTTCCCATATGTAAAGTGATACATCTCTTGCTCTGCTTTGCGAGCTCACCTCAGCTGGGTTCCTCAAAATACTTTGAACTCTCTAGACCTTAAGCTTTTAGCTCTTGGAAGGCAGGCTGTCTTTTGTTTTCTTCATTGTGTAAGATAAATCTTATGGTTGGTCTCTCCCTCAGCCTGAGAGAGTTCTTTGAAGTGGGAGACCAAACTGGACTGAAGCTGCATTTTTAGACCAGAGTGAGGAGGCCATTCCCATGGTGTCTGGTCACATCTTAACACATTTGTATTCAGGTCTAGAAAAGGTTGATGGGGTCGATTGGAGAAACAAGCCCTTAACTCCTAGGTTAGTCTTTGCTCATGTCTACTTTGTTTGTTTTGCTTCTTCACATTAATGAGTACTATTTGCTCATCGTCAACGAACTTCTTGATAGAACAAGAATGAGAGGATATTCTTGTCTTAACCACTCATCAAGCCGTTGCTAAATTGGTGACTAAACACTTAGATGAGTAATGCTGCTGCTTCTGGTGTGGGCGTGTGCAGTGTAATTATATGGGCACACCAGTGTAACCTGTCTCTTTTTTTTGTCTCCGCCTATCTCCCTCTTCCCTCAGAGTACTTGAATCCCGAGAACGGCGGGCAGCAGATGTTCTCTATCAGTGACGCTTTTATTAAAGGTAAGGAGAAACTTCAAATGTTGCAGCTCTGCATTTTTTTAATCTAATGGTGGAAAGTGCTCAATACTCCTTTCATAGGGCATTGACCTTTTCAAAATATTGACAGTAAATCTGAACTTATTTGTGGCAAAACTGATATATAAACTATACTCTGACTTTTCTGAATGCACTTTCAAGCTGAAATTTCTTTCACCTCTCAGATTTCCTCATTCAAAATGTCTGAAGAAAAGCTTTTACTTTATTTAAAAAAAAGTTTAAGTGGCAAGTCCTGTTGCAATTTCTCCACTTGCAAACATAGTAACTGATTTTTACCTTTCTGTGCAAGCAAATGAAGATGTGATATGATTAATTTCGCTGCTTCTACAGAGTAGCTTAAAGCTTCATCTCTTAAATCTTTCTGGGTTTCCTGTCATTACCACCATCACCACTACTACTTCTGAAATGAAAGGCAATTACATGCAGTTGTGAGTTTTAAAACCCACATGCCTTGCAATACCATGGCCAGATGTACTTGTGTGCTTAATGCTATTGATTTTTGTGAGCTCATAAGAGGAGGAAGTAAGAGAGAAATAAGGGGAAAACCCCAATGTCTGTGCAGCCTGAAAAATAGTCTTTGTTTAACTGTTGCTTAGTTTTTAACTGAGCTTTTGCAGGAGACAGGGGAGAAAATCAATGTAACTTCTGTTAATCTTTTACATAGCTAATTTTGTGTATGGAGCATCTGGAAGAAGTTAATTGTTGTTTTTAAAGAGTGGGTTTTTTAGTAGTCCTACTGTTGATTAAGGATTTTGTTTAAAACTCCTCAGAGTCTTAAGCTTGAGCTCTGCATGCTTACATGCTTGCTTGATGAAAATTTGTACACTACTAGCATAAATGACTTACGTTATAAATTTATAACTTCCTTTTATAGTATCATAATACCTGTGTGGGAGAAAACTTAATAACTCTTTCAAAGCACAGAAAGCTCTGCTGAAATAACCTCTAATTTTGGTACTGCAAAACAGAGAACAGGTCCAAGGAGTTGCAGTGATTGAAAGTGGCCCCCTCAAACTGATGACTGTCTTATACTGTTGAAGCATACTTAGTTTCCAAACTCAGAAACAGCTATAGCTTGTGCTGACATTTAAGATTTTTAAAATTATATTCAGTGGATACAGACTTTGTTTTCATCCTGTTATCATAGCAGAGTGATACCTGTGTATATTATGGTTAGGCAGATGGAGATGGATGTGCTGAGATGTTTTGAAAAGTTTGTGCCACTTCCTTGACAGAAGATCCTCGAGAATTCTGTAGTATTAGATGCTGTGACATAGGCTTGATGAAGCAGCCTGCTGCTGGCTCACTCTGCAGGAGGGAGCAGCAAAGAGGTGGTGTGTGGGATCAGGGCTGCAAGTCACATAAAGGGCCAAAAGTATTACATATTTATTAGCAGCATAGCATTTCTTTAAAATATGTTTGGGAAGTTCAGGAAACAAGGGCTTTACCAAGATATGTTTGATACTTATGCTACAGCCTGAGTGAAATAACTAGATCTTTTCATGCCACTTATAAATAGGTGTCTTCAAAGCAGCAAATTTTTGTGGATCAAAGTAGGGCCTTTGACCAATGTTCTCATTCTAAAAGGCATTATGATTATATATTATGAATATACACGGTATTTGGAATTTGCTGCTTATTTATAGGCAAAACTGGGATATAAGGTTTTGTCTTAACAAACTTGGTAGCAGTTCTATTCCAGAAGAGAAAACTGTCTGCTCTTTACTGGCAGTACAAGAATTTTGGTAGCTCACTTTTCCGTTGTATACTTACCGCTTTTACACTTGATACTGTTTGTGGCATCACGTTCCTATAGCATCTACCTCAAACTCAAACCTTTTAAGAGGCTTAGGCTTGTGTCTTAGTAAATTCTTTCTTTGCAAAATAGGCTTTAAGAAAGACACAGGCATTCAGCAGTGACTTTATATTAACAAGCTTTGTTTTTCTCTTGCAGAGTCATTATTCAACAGGAGGGTGGAAGAGAAGTCCAAAGAACTCTTTTTCACGCCCCTAGGCTGGCACCACAGCAATCTGGATCTGCTGAGAGAAGAGAATGGGGAGAAACAAGCCATGGAAAGGCTGCTGTAAGAAAAGTATAGAAAAAGGAATTTGCATATCATGAGTAACAATTCCTGAAGCCCCTCTGTTCCACCAGCTTTCAGTGGGGCTTGATCGACAGTGGACAATACAAGGAACCAATTAGCATTAAGAAAGCATTTTTACAATATATTCTCTCTGTTTCTTTTTCCTTATGACTTTATATATACTTTTATAGTACAGGAGCAGAGTTGACTGTAGAACATTCTAGGCAGCTGTTCCTTCAGAGGACTTCCTGCACTGTAAATGTTAAGAAATTAACTTCTGAAATGTGACTTCAACTAACTGCTGCTCTGTATTTTTTTGTCACAAGAAATCTGTTTATTTTGCCTTTTTTACAGGTCTGCTAATCATAACCACATGATGGCACTGCTTCAGCAGCTTCTATACAATGAATCCCTGTCACTGTCCTGGAGGGATATCATTGTACCTGTGGTCTGCCAGGTGGTTCAAACAGTACGCCCTGATGTGAAGAACAGAGACGATGACATGGACATCCGCCAGTTTGTCCACATCAAAAAAGTAAGTTTCTAACAGTGGACGTAGGGAAACAAAAGGATGCAGCTGTCGGCAGCACCCCTTGTTTGAAGACTAGAGTCCCTTTCCCACTGCCCCCAGCGTAGTCAGTGGTGTAATTGCCCAACGTGGCCTTTGGATAAGGTGGGGTTCTAGAAAAGGTTGCACGGAAGGATCTTTGCATGCTGCGAAAGGTGCTTTAATGCCCTGGAGCTGACCTGTTTTTTTCAGGCAGTAGGCTGCAGGCTGCAGAAGGTAGCAAAGAGCAACACCTCTGTAATGACTTGCTTAATTTTTTGGTTTCTGCTTGTTTTGTGCTTGGATTGGAGATGTACCAAATGCTGGATAAGTAGCTTACAGGACTCAGTGTAGCAATCTTTTGTCCTGTAACTATCCATTATGGAGGATTCAACTCCTCCCATGCCAAGTATAATGACTTTCTTCAAGAGGAAAACTTCATTGTTATGGAATGGTGTATTCAGTTCTGCCAGATGGCCCAGTGTTGACATTGTTGAACTGTACAGCTGGAGTTGTGGCATGTAGAATTTCCTCTGAAAGGCTGACCTGAAACTAACATCCACGGAACTGGTGTGATTGAGGATTGAAGGTTTGGGCTTATTTTTCTTTGGCAGAATTCACCTCAGAAGCACTCTCTTGTTTGTAAGCCCTGATGATTCTGGTGGTAGCTTTGTGGCATCTCTTCAGGTAGCATCAGTTGTTGCTGCTTCTGAACTTCCAGTTCAAAGAGCAGATGTTTGGAGGTGAAAGCTCTTCATAGCTGTCTGCTGTTTTGACATGCTGGTAATAGAAAAGTCCTCTGAAACATGTTATTCAGAAACGTGTTTCATGTTGTTTATTACTGCTGTGTTTGCTTGTGACTATAGGCACGCCAGTCAACTGTTTGATGATTCAAATAGTGGTTAGAGGTTTATTTGGTTTTATTTGTTTGAACACTCATCACCTACAATAGCTATTCTGTGTATTAGATTAACAGCACTAGAAGATGTGGGAGTTTCTAAAAATCTTCTTTGCTTTGTTAGATCCCTGGTGGAAAGAAATTTGACTCCATGGTGGTGAATGGATTTGTTTGCACTAAGAATGTTGCACACAAAAAGGTAATGCAGGCTTGATTAATCAAATGCTTGCTGGCATGCATGCTGCGGAAACAAGTGTGCTGTGACTTGCTCTTTGTGTCTTGAGGCTTCTCTCACCACTCAGGTTTGTGAGTTTTCTCTAGTTTGAGACCCTAAACAAGAATGGCTTCTAAAGCATTTCTTTTCCAAGTTGTTGGGGTTTTTTTTCTAGCCCAGAGATTCTAGGGGAGATACTTTCCTCATGCATATATTAAAAACATCCTTTCCACCCCTACCATCACAATAATTACTCCATATTTTAGCTAGAAAAAGGCATTTGTGGTTCTGACTTATGACAATAAGTAAAGTGAGTCTTCAAGGCAGAAGGGCAAGAAAGAAGTCAACTGGATGGGTCAAGTCTGTCAAGACTTTGGGGTTCTTAAGAGTGACTGTGGAAACCTTTAGCATTGCACCTAAGGGTAGCTGTGAAATTCCAACAACTGGGTGTAACATCTTGACAGGAAGAAGGGACGTAGCTCAGACACCTTTAAAGGCATGGTGGGTACTAATCATGGGAAGACTGTCTTTCTTGTGTTTACAAGGTGTCTGTATTTTTATTTTAACTATTTTTGTGTCTTTCTTAGATGAACTCTTGCTTAAAAAATCCCAAAATTCTTCTGCTGAAGTGCTCAATTGAGTACCTCTATCGAGAAGAAACAAAGTTTACCTGCATAGACCCTATAGTACTTCAGGTGAGAGTATGCTTTTGTTCTTGGTTCAAATAAACCAAAATCATGACCAGCCCACATCTGATTTTTCTTAAGTGCATAAGGTGGAGTTGAGTGAGTGAAATTGCATAGAAAAGAGAAAACTTGCCTCTTCTAGTAAGCTTACTAAGAAAACTGCTGCAGTAAATACAGTACAGACTTGTAGTGTGCTGAGGGTTTTTGTCATCAAGTTCCATGTACTGAGAGTGAGCTTATGATCCTCACAATGCAGCGTTTTAGGAAGCACATTTTGGTTTTAATGATACCTTCTGAACTTCGCATTCCCTGTACAGAGTTAGAGCTGGACATGGTGTAGGTGTGTGAATAAATATTTGAAAAGTTAGTGTAGGTGAGGGTTAGGTTGCACCCATGTTATTTCTTGTCAGGCTTGAAAAAATGGAACACAACCAACCTAATGAAGTGATGAACTAGAGAATGTCGCTTTGGAACAGATGCCCTGCCCTTATGAGCAGGGATGTGCCTTAAGTATGAAAACACCAAAATGTATAGACGTGATCTTTAGCACACTGCATCCTGATAGGAGAATTGGTCTTCGGTGTCTGCCAGGACATCCATAGCAAGGGGATTTGGTGCCATAATGTTTGTGTCTGTATTTGACTGTTTTCTTAGCATGCATTTAAGACCACTTCTGTTTGGTGATTAATAGACAGGATTACAGGTATGAAAGCTTTAGCAATAGAACTTCTCTGCCTAATGAGTTGGTTTTCTAGTAAATGCTTAAACTGAGGCATGTCCTTTTGTCTGAATTGGGTAGCAGTATCTGCAATACTTTGTAAATATTGGTATCTGATTATTTCAGTGTCTGCTTCAGAACATAATCATAACTAATGTGTATCTGCCTTAAAATCCTATAGGACAGAAAATACTACAGTAGTACTAGCTCAATCAAAAAGGTTAGCTTCTAGCAAGAGCTTTATCTTTGCCACACTAACATGAATATTCGTGTTATGAAGAGCTGACAAACTGCTTTTGTTGTATCTTTATATTGTTTAAAACCTGACTGATGTGAGCTGCAATAACACAATCGACAATACCTGGCTTGGAAAGGTGTATCTTCCCTCTAGCAGTGTAGACCTTTAGTTCTGATGGAGTTGCAGCCTGATTTCTCTTTCTGTGCATGGTAATGTAAGTGTGTGGGTGGGTAGTGAGATGAAGCCACAAGGTGGACAATTTTGCAGTACATGGCATTTGGGATCAGACTCTGGGAGCACTGTCCACAAGTACAGATGTGGGGACTGAGGCTGTGTACAGGCTTGTAGAGGCACAGAGCCCTGTCATACTCTTCATGACTGTAAATGTTTCTGAGTGCCAGCACTCAACATTAGCTTGTATCTGAAGGTGGAGAACTTAATACTGCAAACAGCTTTGGTTTACCATGCTCTAATTCTAGCACCTTTTGAACATAAAGCTTTCATATGTGTAAGGATATAGGGTGCATATATATTTATGTTTGGATTCTGCTGCTAGCCTCTCACTTCACACTGTCATTGGACTAGATCGTCGTGTGCTATTAGTGCTTATAACAAATTACTGATAAACTGCTTGTTGTGCTGTGGGGGTGGGAAAATGGGCAACTGATGGTGTTTTCTGGGTAGCTGTTTTCCCTGTTTTATAGGAAAGTCCAGTGTGTAAATGAAGGGGAAAGTAATATTAAGCATTAAAGTGATTTTTTTTTTTTTTCAGATGAGTTTGCAGAAGTTAACTGACATACTTTGTTCCTGTCTGCAGGAAAGGGAGTTCCTGAAGAACTATGTGCAGCGGATAGTTGATGTCAGGCCTAACTTGGTCCTTGTTGAGAAGACTGTGTCCCGAATTGCCCAGGACATGCTTTTAGAGCATGGGATCACTCTGGTCATCAATGTCAAGCCGGTGAGCATTTCCTGTCAGTTAGACTGGGCCTTGTGGTGGATCTCTAACTTCTCCTTGTAACAAACTCCCTGGAGAAAGCAAAGACTTGTCTTATTTTCTTCTCTAGCCAAACCTGGGCTCTTTTTTAATGGTACTTCTCTTCCAAGAGGCAAGACAGGCAAACCTGGAGAGTAACTTTTTCTCAGCTCTTCACAGCTACTCTGGTGTGTCCTTGTTTGATAGGTCCTTGTACCCTGGTTTAATTCTAATTACTTTTGACACTTCTTTGTAGCAAATCATGCATGAGTCCTCAGTGATTGCCAGAGAGCCCCTTTCCCTGTGAGAGAGGGTGCAGAAAGCCATTCAGAGTGTAGCTGTGAGAGCTGACTGAGCTCCTGGCGTAGCCAGCACTATGCTGACTGCAGTGTAGGTACCTGAATCTACTCAAATGAAAAAAGGTCAAGGAAAGGCATAATCTTATGTCTCACCAGAAATATTTACCCAACTGTCTTTCTAAGAATCTTTTATATTGTGGGTGTGTGTTTGTGGGACTGAGTTGAATTTGCATGTCAGTGAGAGGTTTCTAGGATCACACTGGCATTTATTGGGTTTTGGTTTTCTTGGGGTTTTTTGCGGAGGGGTTTTTTGGTTTGTTGTTGTGTTTTTTTTAAAGAACAAGATAAGGATGTCTGTGTCCTCTTTGCGTTGTAGATTCTTATTGCTCTTCCTGTTTTTACAGCAAGTGTTAGATCGGGTAAGTCGAATGACCCAGGGAGACTTAGTGGTGTCAATGGATCAACTCTTGACCAAACCACGTTTGGGAACATGTCATAAATTTTATATGCAAGTTTTTCAGTTGCCTAATGGTGAGTACAACTTGATGTGTCTTAGCCTGTGTGTGTGAAAGGATAAATGCTTTGTTCCTTTTAAGCAGACCTGAACTGTTGGATGCCTTGTGTGATCAAGTATTATCCCACTCATTTTTCTTCTGTTGTATCTTGGAACTACAGTGAACTGGCTGTGCACAGAAAAGTGTGAACTTACTAAGATGAGGCAGACTATAGATTTTAATTAGACCGATTTCTTTCTTCCAGACTGTGTTTTTTATTCCCATCACCCTGTATCTTGTCTAGTCCAACTTCCTGTTCAGAACAGGAAGGATTAATTTCATTGCAGCATCAGATTTCTGAAGGTTTTGTTAGCCAACTGTTGAAAATACTGCAGAATGGAGATTTTGTAGTCTGTCTGGACACTAGTTAAGTTGCTTAATCATCCTCACCGTAAAGAATTTTTTTACATTGACATAGAGAATCATAGAGCAGCCTGGGTTGGAAGTGACTTCAAAATATTATCTCGTCCAACCTTACCATATCTAATCAAAATTATCCTTGTTGCAATTTGTGCATGCTGCCCCTTGTCCAGTCATTGTGCACCTTTGAGAAATGAGGTTCCTTTTTCTCTGTAACCTCCTTTAGGCATAGGTCCGCAAAGGAAGAACGAAGAAGGAAGAAATGCTACTTGACAGGTTACCAGTGGTTCTAGCACACATAAATTCTGTGAATGCAAATCTTTGTGGAGATCTTTGTTCAGTCTTGGCATCTCTTCATAGAATCATGGAAAAATTTGGGTTGGAAGAGATCTTAAAGATCGTTCAATTTCAACCCCCCTGCCATGGACAGGGACGCTTTCCACTAGACCAAGGTGCTTCAAACTCCACCCAGTCTGTCTTTGAACATTTCCCTTTCCATGTTCCCATTGCCCCTTCCAGCCTTTAAATTGTCCTCGAAATGTCATAGGCTTTTGACTTGTAAGGATGAGCAAATGTGCCTGGGAGGATAGTGTTTCTTTTGCTTCACTGCTGCAGAGTCCACATCTTAGAACACACTGTTTAGGCCATTGTGTTTCATGTGGCCTTCACTTGGACTTTATGATTACTTGTTTTACAGAACAGGAGTTTTATAGCAAATGCTTGTTTTGTTTGCAAAAATTAGTTATTAATGTGAATTTCTGCAGCTACTAATGTTACTTGCTCTTAGTCTCTGTTACAGTCTCTTCAGTGCATGAGATACCTAAAAGCAGGTTACTGTAGTTGTTATCCTAATTCCTATGTTTTATTTTTCTTCTAGATCAGACAAAAACCTTGATGTTCTTTGAAGGGTGTCCCCAGCACCTGGGTTGCACTATCAAGCTGTGTGGTGCTGCAGAGTATGAGCTGGCTCGTGTCAAGGAGATCCTGATCTTCATGGTCTGTGTGGCTTATCATTCCCAGCTGGAAATCTCATTTCTTATGGATGAGTTTGCCATGCCCCCTACTCTCACCAAAAACACCTCCTTTCATTCCCTTATTGAGGAGCCAGGAGATGAAGGTGACCAACAGAACCTTTTCAATGGTGAGGATTTCAGCACAGCAGTCAGAGACATTGAACTGTCTTCTGAAAAGCTGCCTGTCATCTCTGAGTCAGTGCCCTCTGATGAGGTCAGCTCGCTTGAACCAAGAGGCTTGTTTGAGAGAGGTGACCAAGAGAACAGTCAAATGGAAACAGTGTCCTCAAAACAGCAGGAGCACCACAAAGTGGAGTCACCATTTGCAGTGTTCAATTCTGTACCTCATGCAATACCTGAAACATCCCTGCTGCCCCTCCATGGCATGGACCAGCACTTGGTCACTCTGGATAACCAGACACTAGAGCCTCTTCAACAGACTGATGATTTGCAGGAGTCCAAGAGTCAGATGAGAGTCTTCAGAGACCCTCTCCAGGATGATACTGGTTTATATGTCACAGAAGAGGTAACTTCTTCTGAGGATCGTCTCAAGACGTACTCTGCAGCATTTAAGCAGGAGTTGAAAGATGTTATTCTCTGTATTTCTCCTGTATTGATGTTCCGTGAACCATTTCTTTTGACAGAAAAAGGCATGAGATGCCCTGCCAGGGAATACTTTCCTGAGCAAGTTTATTGGTCTCCTCTCCTCAATAAGGAATACAGGGAGTTGGAGAGCAGAAGGAAGAGACAATTATTGCGGGATCTCTCTGGACTGCAAGGGATGAATGGGAGTATCCAAGCTAAGGCTATTCAAATCTTACCTTCTCACGAATTGGTTAATACTAGAATAGCAGAACATCTAAGTGACAGCCAGAGCTTAGCCAGAATGCTGGCTGACTATCGGGCCAGAGGAGGGAGGATACTACAGAAAAGCACAGATCCCTTTGCCCAAATTAAGGATGTGTCTAGTGTCCCTACTGCAAAACCTGGGTGCAGAATTGAAGAGGATGAGAAGGGACTGGCTCAGAGTGAATCCTCGTGGTCTCATAAGGTAAGATTCAGAGTTATGCTACTGAAAACCCAAGTTACATCAGTTTCTCATGGTATAGGGAAGGTGTAGTGTCTCATATTAAACCAGAGGGAGTTTTGTCTGTTTCTTTTTGCTTGGTTGTGGGTTTTCTGGTTTGGTTTAGTTTGGTTTTGACTGGGTCATAACTGCATTTCAGATTGCAGTGCTCTGCAATCATTCAGAACAAAAGACTACAAAATTTCTCAGGAATCTGCAAAGTCAGCCCAGAATCAGCGTATTGCATTGCCTGTCTGACTTGGCTGAACCTGATTCTGGAAATAAGTCCATGAAGACTTCAGGGAGCAAACTTTCAGAAGTTTCTGAAAATGAGCTTTCTTGCTCCTTGTATGTGGTGATGCAAGGAGGTGTGATATTTTCATTTTCAGAGGGCTTAACATCATGGAAACAGCAGTAGGCTGTAGTTACGTTGAAGTATTGATTGATTGTAAAAGTCTGGGCAATCTGAAGAGAAGTGAGAATCTCATAATGGAGTGGGAGGAATCTTCTTTGAAGTTTCAAAGCAAGGGATTGTGTGCTTTTAATCAAAATATTTAAAGTTTGGCTAAACTGCCATGAAAGTAACTGACTCGTATCTGAGGAGAAGGGTCTTGGGACTTTCTTGAATTGTAAGCTGTTCAGGAAGAAAGTCTATGAACAAGATTAGCAGAACTGATCTGCTGAAATAGCCAAACATTTTGGCCCCTGAGCCAATCACCCACCATGTTCATGAGCAGAAGTCACTTTTTAATTGATGCTTGAATATAGATATGTGTAGCTTTACAGGCCATAATCTTATAAACTGTAAGACTAGCCCTCACTCTGGATCAGACTGGTTGATGCTGTTTTAAATTTATTCAGTGATCAAAAAATAGTATTTGGCAACTTCATAGTTCTGTAGGGTGTGGAAGGGAAAAGAGCTTCATTTCAGCATCAGTGTGGTAAATCTCTTCACAGAGGACAGAAAGTTGAAAATCTTTCTATAACCTGAATGAGTAACTGAGGTATAATACATTGACAGTTTTGAATCCAAGGTGTCCAAAACTGTACAGTGATGGAGAGACTCTGCGTGTTCGTCATGAGGCTTTTGTTGTGTTCTGTTTCTCTTGGCTTCTTTTCCACAGAAACACGTGTGTGCATTGGTTTCATTATGTATATTAGTTATGTTGTTCTAAAAATAGCAGTTAGCAATTATACATTGTTCAAGTTTACCTGAAGCTTGGGGATAATGCCAGGTTAATCTGTACAAAAGGAGGAAGCAGAGATTTGTCTTTAAATAAAACTACTAGAATAGAATTTTGTCAACAGAAGTTGTGTGTGAATGGAGGTGTCTGTAACCAGTAAATGAGTTGTTTTCTCTCTACCAGGTGGATTGCTTGAGTCCAGTAAACCATCAGAGGCTCTGTGTTCTCTTCAGTAGCTCTTCCTCTCAGTCCAGCAATGCTCCAAGTGCCTGTGTTAGCCCCTGGTATGAAAACTGCTCCTCTACAGCTCGTATAGTTGCTATGTTTTTATTATTTTTGGGTTTTTTAGTGAAGTCAAGGTCAGTGCCTGACTCATAGCAGTATTTCTTTGAGGACTCCTTAGTGTAGGTTGTGCCCATTCTGTAACAGGAACTGTTGCCAAAAGAGTTTTGTCTTGCGGAGTCAGGTGAATCCACAGCAGTATTGCATTGCCTCTGTAACCCCCAAGGCATGAATGAGAAAGCCCAGCCTGAAACCAAGTGCTTACTAAAGCATTTGGTCCTTTCACTGCAGAGTGATGGGGGAGGGGAGGGCAGGCACTGCATGCAGTCTTGTGGGGAAGAGTTAATATAAGTAAACACAGAACAATGTCCAAGCCCAAAAATGAGCCTTGTGAGAATCTCAGAATATTTAGAGATTGTATTACCCAAGAGTGGCATTTGAATATGTTGCTATCTTTCTCACATTCTAGTCATCAGTATTAAGAGCTTTCACTGCACTTCCAGCCTAGGCACCTGTAATTTGTTAATTGTGTGCAGTTTATGACACTGTTATCTCTATTAAGCAGACCAGGACTTGGTGTTTCATCATTTAGCTCAGGTGAAATTGAAGAGATGACCCTCTGACAGAGAAAGGTCTAGTGTTCCTGTAAAAGCTTAGAAATGAACCAAAGCTCACTTTGGTGATGAGTGCTATTTAATGATAAGCTGACTAAACAGCAGCAATAAGAGTATGTAAATTTGCAGTGTTAGAGGTATCTGAATTGTGACACTTAAACTGCTACACATTTTAAATGGCTTGGTCACTTCAGGTTCTGAGGAAACAAAAGTTGCTATTAAATATTCTAGAAGAATAAAAAATTTTTAAGTCTTTTTTCATAGTCTGGATATACCCTTTTTGTAGCTGTTTAAATGTTAGTGTTTCAAGATTCAAGCTGTCTAGACTTCTGTACCTAGATATTTTTGTACATGATCTTCATAAGTGCAATTGAACTGTATTAGACTTTTAATGTCAAGTTTGAAGTTTTTCTGGCAGGACTCTGATGTCATTATTGACAAAGTTGACAGCAAGGATCTAGGAAGGGTGGTTAAAAGGAAAAAACAAGTCTTTGAAGGTATACAGGACTGTAAAGAAGCCAGCAATGGGTGTATATCTCTGCACTCAGGGGCCATTGCACAGCTAGCAGTGGCAGCATCCAGGCACTAAAACTTTTCATTCTCTGCTTTAGGATTGTGACCATGGAGTTCTATGGGAAAAATGACCTGACTCTAGGGATTTTTCTGGAGCGCTACTGTTTCAGGTGAGGAGGAACTTATTCTAAATCTTATTCTAAACAAAACAAAAGCTTTTGATAGTTCTGTGAAGTTGACCTGCCACTCTCTAGTGTAGGCTGTACTTCCTGTGCACTTAGGAGAATAGCACACAGGTCTGCAGAGCTAGTTGTGTCCTAGTAAAGTTTACCACTTAAATCTGTTTGCTCCCTTTGCTTTATTATCATGCTGTAGATAAACAAGAACTGGGTTTAAGAATTCACTTACCCTCACTCCTTATGAGCAAATACATCCATTGCTTTCCCACTTCAGCCCTTTCCTTATTTCCTTTAATGAGAAAGTGGAACAGATTATGAAACAAGATTTATAAGTTCATAAAGACCTGGCATAAAGACTTCATAAAGTTCACTTAGCAGGTTTTTTTTTCCAGCAGTTAGTACTCTATGTGCTTAGTTAAGAGTCTGAACATTTATTCCAATTGACTTTTTCAAGACAAGCAACTGTATTGGCCAGGCCCAGAGAGTGGTGG